GGGGGGGAGAGGATTAGCAAAATGTTTAGAATGTTGGAGGCAGGACTCAGGCAAAGCAGCCAGTGGATAGGGAGACCCTCTGAATGACAGATCAGAGAGTGAACTGATTTTGGAGCGTGTGGAATGTTCTAGAGAAGTGCCACCACCATTCGGCTTTTATTTATTATATATAATTCTGTTTTGGTCATGGACTCTCCTGAACATCCACACGCTCCCAAATGAATTGGATCCCTGATCTGTCACTCGCAGGGTCTCCCTAGCCAGTGGCTGAGTTGCATGAGTCCCGCCCACAGAACCGGCATACAACAAAAATCTCCTCAGAAGACACATTCTCCTCAGGAGAGAACAGACAGTCCCTCAGAGCCCCCCCCCGTGCCCTTCCTAGCTGGCCCACCGAGGCAGACGAGCTAGGAAGGAGCCAGGAGGACGCAGGGAGACATTTAAATCACTCCCCGGGGCTTCTCCAGCTGGCTCACTGAAGCAGGCCAGCCAAAGAAACCCGACAGAGCCCCCCCGTGCCCTTGCTAGCTGGCCCGCCGAGACAGGTGAGCTAGGAAGGACCCGGGAGGGTGTGGGGAGACATTTAAATGGCTCTCCGGGGCTTCTCCGGCTGCCTCACTGAGGCAGGCCAGCCAGAGCAGCCTAACAGAGCCCCTCTGCCCTTCACAGCTCGCCCGCCAAGGCAGGCGAGCTAGGAAGGACCCGAGAAGCCCCGGGGAGACATTTAAATGGCTCCGGCTGGCTCACTGAAACCGGCAACACGGGGGGGTGGGAGAGGCCGGCCAACAAGGAGGGTGATGCCAACATCCAGGAGCTCCATGTCATGAGCTCTCAACCCCGGGGTCTTGCTAGAGTTCGTTGTATTGAGTTTACAGTGGGCTTTTCTACTAGTGTGCGTGTGTGTGTATATATGTGTGTGTGTGTGTGTTTGTGTGTATGTGTCTATATACCTATAGCAAATGGGGGTGGCCAGCCCTCCCGAAATTCGGCAATCGGGGGTGTGTCCGCCAGTGCCCTGAAGCAGGACCGCGGGATGGCAGAGGCATGGTTTACCGTGCTTCTAAACAACGACCATCCGGACTTTTAATGTGGTGGACTATTTTCTTTGGTGTGTGTTTCGAGCACTCTTACAGTATAAAATGAACAGTATTACTAGCTATAGAAGCGCTTAGGAAGGTGCTTAGCACAGGAGAGCACCTTTATGGAGTGGTAAACCGAATGAGAAAATGGCGGTGGCGTCTATTTGCGAGGAAGTAATCTTGAACCTTAAAGCGGAACTCAGGTCGGAACAGTTCCAACAAAGTTTGAGAGAAGAACTGAGTAAAGCATGGCAATTGGTATGGGAAAAGACTCTGAGAAATTCCCAACCATTTCGTGTAGAGGATAAAGATAATGAAGAACCAATTCAAAGGACACAAGCCCAAACAGGCTCACAGGAGTTGACTCAGATTGAAGAGCAGCAAGAAACAAAGCTCAATTTGCAATTTTTAAAGACAGAAGGAAGAATAAAAGAAGTAGCTCCGTTAGAAAGGATTTTGGAAAGTGGAAAAAAACGGAAAACAGGGAGGACTAAAAAGCGGAGGTCCAAGCCCTCTTGGAAGAAAAAAAATGAAGTAAAGAGGGGAAAAATAAAGAAATATATAAAGAAATATGGAGACACCAAGCAGCAGAAAGAGGTTATATACATAGATGGAAAGGACTTCTCCGTGATTATATTGAGGGAGTACAAAAACCCACGGCATTTGTGTGAAAACGGCGAAAATCAACTTAAAAAGGAACTATTGAGAACTATAGCAGCCAAGAAGTACATGGAAAAGTTATTGGGTTAAGCGTAGATGGGATGGATGTTGGTATAAGCTGAAGAATTATTTGTTTGAAATGGACTGTTCACGGAAATGGTATTATCTTATAATTAAATAATTGTTTGAAATTAGCATATCTGAGTTGATGGAAAATATAACTATATAAGTTAAATTATGTTTTTTCCCTTAATCTAGATTTAATGGTAAAAACTGAGTTGAGAGATTAATTAGTGAATGAATTATACTTACCTTTTGAATGAATTACAATGAATTAAATTAGATTCGATGATATTAAAAGTATAAATTTTTTTTGTAAATTAGGAGCTAAAAATTTATAAGGTAAAATGGTCTAAGGTGTGTGTATTAGAATTGCTTTTCTGAAGTTGACTGTTTAAGAAAATGAGCTTAGTTGAAAGTTAAAAAACTAAAGTTGGGGTAGGATAAAATTCAGCAGATGATTAAGTTGTAATTGTGTAAATTGATGGAAAAGCTGATGGTGTGATTAAGGACCGAAGGATATATAATTAAAATTGGGAGATGCTATATATGTAGGGTAACTGAGGTTAGAATGTACGGTATAAATGGTTGGTAAGGTGTAATAAGGTGCAATAAGTTTTTTGTTAAATGCCAAACAGAGGCTTCTATATTTCCAATACGTTTTATTTATTTATTTTTTCTTTTCTTACCTAGAATCCAGACTGAATGGATTTAACAGAGTTAGATATAAATTGTTGGATGGAAGGTAATCAAGAATTTGAGCCAATTAATATTTATTGGTTGACAGGGAATCTTAAGGATTATTATTTGTAATTAAACCAAACTCATGTAACATGTGATAGGGGAAGAAATCAGAAATTATTTGGTGTGGGTGGGTTAGGGTTGTTTTTGTATGTGTTGTATGTCATTGTTCTAGTATGTTTATTTGTACCTCACTGAAGGCAATCAGTGGGGATGTTTGTTGAAAACCAATAAAAAAATTATTTAAAAAAAAAATGGGGGTGGCCAGAACATCATTTTCTAGTGCCATGTTTATTTGCTGCACAGAATTGTGCTGAGAGGTACTGAGCCACCCTGTGTCTTATAGCAACTACAGGTTAGTTGAATGCTGCCCAGCACCAAGTGAGTGGCCTTACCGCCCCCCACCCTGGTTACTTCAGAGTGAGCTGATAGTCCTATGGATGATGATTTCTCACTGGGATCCAAGGCAGATTACACGTATGATAAAAAACCAACAAACCACAAGTAGTAGGTGGGTTACAAAATGTGATGTAAAACTGTTCTGGTATTGACAGGCCTGACTAACCTAGTATTGGCATGAAGGCTGTCTTTGCTGCCAGTTACTCCAATAATGGGCTGTGCCAAGGAGAACCCCCCCCACACACACACACTATAACAGAGCTATAAATAATATATAATTGAAAAAATACCATAAATAATTGCATGAAATGTCTATCCCATCAAGACTGTGCCATCTCTTGTGCCCAGAAGGCGATAAGAAGCCAAAACAGACTATGGATTTTGATTTAGGTGGGGTAGCCTCTTGGTCTGAAGCAGCAGAATACAGTTTGAATCCAGTGGCTCCTTTAGGCCTTTAAGACCAACAAAGATTTTGATGTTAATCTTCCCACAGATGTTATGAACTATTGAAAATACATAGAAGTGTCACTGAAGTAGTTGCTGTGGTCTTCCACAAGCTTTGGTTTGGGTGCAGGACATTCATGGTGTAATTTTATGTGGTAGTTAGGAGCAAGTAAGCCTCTTGATTTCAGTGGGCTTAGCCGCACCTATCTTTGCACAGGATCAAGCAGAAACTCTGAATTCATTAAGAGGACTCCAAAAGAATGCAGGCAGATTGTCCCAGCCACCTGTTGTCTTCAGCAGCTCCCTGTGACACCCCCAAAACTGCTCTTGAATATCAGGGGACCCTCAGGAGTAGCACAAGAAGTAGTGGGCAGCAGGTAAAAGGGATGGCCCTCGCTATGCAGCATAAGTACCCTTAGGACACACAAGCTCTTCTTTGGATTGAACCAAGGATACAGAGATACTGATTTTTTTACATGATTTACTTCAGTTTCTATGTAACTTGTAAATTGTTACCTAAGTCACAGAAAGTGAGAAAGGATGGCATGACTAAGTCCTTTGTCCTTCTGTACTTTGAAAAAATCCTTTTAAGATGTGACAGTATTGTAATCCTTCGTTTTAAAAAAAATTGAATGGAGGTACATGAAAGTGTTGTGAGAACCACTTCAAATATTGTGTGTGTTGGGGTGCAGCAGCAATACCTGATTTTTTTTAAAAAAAACCTTTGTTCTGAATCTAATTTTAATTCATATCATTTGCTTCTTTCAGTGACTGAAGATGAAATATCTAAGGAGGCTGCTGACATGGAAATGGAACGAGAGAAGTACATTGAAGAACTACAAAAAGTGCTGTTGTTCAGAGGACAGACAGACAAATACAATTTTGATATTTCGAAAGGAGAAGCCAGTGGAGAGTGCCTTAATTTTTCCTATGAAAAGAATCTGAAAGATGTTTCTGTAAGTATTGCTCTGTTTTCATATATTTCCAACAAGAGTTCATGCATAGTAGAAATTTTACTCTAATCCTTTGTTTGTAATGGCTTATGGGTAAATACAAATAAATTTTGATTTCAATTTCACATAGTAGAACAATAATAGAGAACTTTTTTTAAACTTTGCCTTTGAGGAGTTCTGTAATGAAAAATTTCATAATGCTCAGTGTATTGATCAACTTGGGGGGGGGAAGAGGTGAAAGAAAAAACTGTGCCTACAAGAACAGTTTAAAAATCCTAGCAACATAAACTTTACTTTATCTTTTTAATTATGAAATGTTTAAGTAGGGAGCAGTGTATTGGGAGAGAGGCATTTGGGGCTGCAGTGGTAGGGGCGAGGCAAGAATGTCTCATTCCAAGTGGGAACCTTTCTACCTGTAGAAATATTAGACTGAGTCAAAGTCAAAGTTACTTCCAGTTTTCTCTGCTGTAGAGATGGAGCTGATCTGATTAAGTCTTTTTTATGCATTACTTGCCTCCTCTTGTTGAACTGTTTATGGAAATGCAGTTAACTCTGTTTTCCAAATATTAGTGACCGGAGCCTTTAGTCTAAAGAAAGTAGAGCTAATGAGTTAAAACTTGGGGTAGAAAAAGATGGGCTGATGGGGGGCACATCCAGTTGGCAAAATCTGTCTTCCTTTGGAACTGTTAGTTTAAAGAAATAGCTGTAGGGTAGATTATTGAGTCACTTTGCAGTAAGCTAGACAAAGCACTGGAAAAATGTGCTCTAAGGAAGCAAATGTTTCATGACTTAATTAGGTGTTTTGCATCCTAGAATTCTGTCTTTGCCAGCCCACACGTACGGCAGGCATGAAAAGTCATTCTGGCAGCAGTGTGTCAAGTAAATACGTTCCACGTAGATAGTCATATGCATGAGAAACTTGTAATTGTTATTTTTAAATATTCTCTGTTAACTATTAGAGGTACCAAGAATGAATTAACACAGCTTTTATATATTTTAAGAAAATATTTTGAGTACAGATAACTTTGTATGGTGATTAATGTTATGCTGAGAACAGGAGCCTTATCAAGTGGGACAGCTAGCTATTGTTGGAAGATGAGTGTCTGAATGGATCTGGAGCATCTTCTTAGAAGGTGCTCTTTCCTGTAACCTGCTTACTTTTGTTAAAAAAGTGATTGATGGGCTCATGTAATCTTTGTCATTCAATTATCTATGTAGAAGCAATGGAGGGTACTACCGTATTTTTTTGCTTTCATAAAAAGCCCTAAATAGCTTGTGACCAGGGTACTTGAAGGGACCACCTCTTCCCATATTGTCCAGCCTACCAATTAAGATCTGCCTCAGAAGCCCTGCTCTCTGTGCCCCCACCTTCAGAGGTAAGGTGGATGGCAACTAGAGACAGGGCTTTCTTAGTAGTGGTGCCTGCCTTATGGAATGAACTTCCTTTTGATGCTTGCCTGGTGCCTATGTTGCTTTCTTTTAATTGCCAGGCCAAAACATTTCTGTTCATAAGACTTTTAATTAAAGAGTTGACTTTTTAGCACTATTTCAGTCTGGAATCTGTCTGTGATCTGTGCTATGGTCTCTGTTTTTATGCTGGGCTACTGTTTTATTATTTTTATTTTGTAAGTTGCCCGGAGCAAGTTCCTGCAGAGGTGACATAAACATATTCTAAATAAACAAAATGGAAGCAAGGATTCTCTAGTAATATTTTTGCTTACGTATTATACCAAAAATACATTGAAGTGTGCCTGTTACCAAAAGGTTAATTATCTGATTTAGTAAAACCCATGGCTGTTTAAGTGAATCAGTATCTGAATCAGGCCTGACCAAAGTCACCTGGATCAAAGACACTGTAGAGTCTTTTTGGGCCTCTTGGTATCTTGATTCTGTGACAGGCTAGCTGAGTTTGGTGGTCATGTCCCAGTGGTTTGATGATTCCATGATTTCTGAATGATTAGTTTGCAATATGATGTTGGGAGTCTACTTCTGAACTCCATCATAGTTGTACTGTGGAGTCTTGGAAGGTTCCCTCTTGTCTCATATGCTGTTGTATGAAAACATTGGCAGAACCATTCTAGAGAGTGGGAATAAAGTGTTATTCATGCGATGATTGTATGCAATCTTATTCCATTTTAGGTTTTAAAGAAGTGAATAGAGGTGGTTTGCTGTTGCCTGCCTCTATGAAGAGGCCCTGGACTTCCTTGGTGGTTTCCCCTTCAAGTACTATTCAGGGCTGACTCTGCTTGAGATCTCATGAGATCTCAGGCTAGTCTGAGCCATCTGGGTCAGGGCTCTGTATTGGTAGTTTGGATTTATTTCTCTTTGATGACTTGGATTTCCACGGCTTTCTAGATTTTCTGGCTCAACATACAAATGGCATGGCTAGCTGTTGGGTATTACAAGTTGAAAACACTCAGTATATCTGGGGTTAAATGTTTGTTTATGTTACTCACAGGAAGTCACATGTTTCTCATGTAACCAATGTTCTTTAGCTGTAGAATGCCCCGGAATTTTCTCCCTGATCTAGGAATTTGATTGGGACTAAAGTGTCAAGGTGTATTACAATTTTATGGCTTCTCTTCCCGTCTTTGGTGTTCTGAAGAAACAAGAAGAGTAGCCATAATCTCTCTCTTCTAGTTTTGTCTTTGTAGAGTAAGGATGTAGCCAATTATGCTCTGTTGTTATTTTCATCCCTGTTGTTATTTTCATTTCAGTTACCCTTCCCATGCTAGAATTTAGTAAAAACTTTATATTTTAATCACACATGGACTCTCAGTCTGAATTATTTTACTTTGGCTCTGCTGGACTATCTTATCTCTGCTAAATACCATTTTTTCAATATCTCACTATCACCCAACTCTAGCGAATATTTTAGGGTTTGGTCCAGTTACAGCCATAGGCAGTGATTAGTAGTCCTGAATGGAGGTGAATATCATTGTGTGTCTGTCTAAAGTATTGTCAAGTTGCAGCTGAGTTTTGGTGACCCAAGAAAGGGGCTTTCAAGACGTGAGAAGCAGAGGTGATTTCTATTGCCTTCCTCTGCTGGGTATTTCTTGGTGGTCTCCCTTCTAAGTACTGACCCTGCTTAGCTTCCAAGATCTGGTGAAATTGGGCTATATTATGCTGCTTTCCCTCCCATAAATATCTCTGCTGATATCAAAATATGTATGCAGCCCATTCAGTGGTGTTGTTTTGCATATCACTGCAGATGTATCTCCAGTTGCACATCTGTATCAGCTGTGCTCAAGCTTTGCTAGATGAAGCAAGATCTTTTTGTTAATTTCTGCATTATGTGATTCCTGTTAAACAGGATTGGAAGTGTTTCCTGACTTCCATGTACCAAAAAAATAAAAATAAAATTATCTTGGCTAATTTTATATCTCTTCATGAATAAAAAATACCATGATGGACATGAAACAGAATGAAATTCTATTGTATAACAGCAGATGAGATTAATGCGCAGTTGTAAAGATCCAGTGAAAAAAGTTGAAAATACTATAATAGCTTATATTCCCCATGTGAAAAAAGGTTGTTTAAAAATAGATTGAATGTTACCTGGGTGGTTGAAGTCAATTTTTAGGTGTTTATACTGTATTACATAATGGGGGGAAAGAATGACTGACAGATGCAATACAGCATTTATTTATTGGGTTCAGGTTGTTCCTGGTCTTTTGAACTTGTAGTAAAAATTGCACGAAGTTAATGTATTAGAGGTATAATGTTTTAGCAGCATCTCAATTCAAAAAATTGTTCTATCGTTTATTAATGATTTTCTTTCTTTTGAGGATTTTATTTACAGAGCTTTTAAATGTCCTACCTCTTCTGAAATACTCGTAGACTGGTAAGGGCAAACTAGATTGTTGAGAATTGCATTAAAATAACAATAGGCTTGATACACAGTGGGGCTTGTGTGTGTCAAACCAGCTGCAGAGCAAAATGGGCCACACACACTGAGAAGCTCAGTAAGGGGCCATTGAGGCTTGGCCAGCTAAACTGCTGCCACCTAAACAAACACCATAACAAGAGTCAGTGATTTACTGTTTGATCTAAGTAGGTGATCACTGGGAAGTAAATCTTTCCAAGCACTTCAGCTAGGAACTCTCTGCCTCTAACGCATAATGGGACTCCTGCAAGACTTTCTCCTTGGAAGTGGCAATTAAATTGATTAAAGAGATCTTGATAAACAGCATTTGAGGGGTAGCAAACCTTTCTGTGTAATAAGGTGGCAGGTATTGTATTTTCTCCCCCCTCCCCCGAACATTACCCATGGAGGCTGAGATTTTCAGCTTGAGGCAAACATTCATGATTTAAGTAGTCTGAAGAAAGAAATGGTGTTAAGTCGCTTCACTTTTCCCTCAAATAACTGTGTTGTTGTAGCGTGTTCTGAAATATAGGCTACTACACTCGGAATATACTTTTTAAGTGTCCTTAAAATTTTCCAAATAGTAAAATCAAGTTCCTAAAATCTGTCGATTCTTTTTCCTGTTTTGGAATACATGCTGTGTACTACAGTTGTTGGTATTATGAGCCATTGTTTATGGTTCCTTATTGAACTGAGTTAAAAAACTGAGGGGGGGGGAACTTTTAAATCATGGGCTATGGACAACACCTGACTTCCTAAACAAGCAAATGCTCAGATTACATATTGGGTTGTATGCTGTGCTGCCATATGATTCAGAGCTTTTTTTTTAAAAAAACTTCAACTTACAGTACATAAGGTTTCAGTAAATATTTTGTACCTAAGAGAAGGAAGTCCTGTAAAATTCATTTTTATGAGAGTGGCTTCAGAACTACCCAAATCACAAGAGTTCCTGTTGTGAGGTACTCAGACCTGAGCTCAAATCCCAGCTGAGCTATGAAGCTCACTGCATGTCCTTGGGCCAGTTTCAAGACAACGATGACCTGGTAGACATTATATACTTGGACCTTCAAAAGGCTTTTGGCCAAGGTACTTCCCCAAAGACTCCTGAGTAAACTTAGCAGTCATGGGATAAGAGGAT